TCGTCTTAAGGCACTTTTGCTGAAGCCCAATGTAAGCAGTTCCGACGTCTTCTAATGCTAGATTATTCAAATTGAAACTTTACATAGCAAATGGAGTTTTTCGAACACGAAAAAAGAATTGAAAAAGAAATTCAAATTATTGGCTATAGGAATCCCCATGTAAGCGTACTTTAAGCCCAGTCCATTGCGTCTGTCTGTGCAATCTACAGCCGCGTCTTAATTGTTATGCAAATCATGATATGCTGCCACATCTGCCACTCGACCGTAGACGCTGCCATTCAATTCATTTTACACCACTTGACTGCTCTTGATTTTACTTTTCTTCTCAAGTGCCGTCCGGCGTTACGTGACGCAGTGCAGTGTTGCATGGTGTCGCTGTTGCAGGTGAATGTGGCATAGCTTTTAAAGTTTAATGAGCAATTAATTGCACAACGACTGAATGCGGAAATGTCAAGTGAAGGCGAACGAGCGGCCATGTGAGCCAATAACAAAAGCAAGATCTGCGCAAAAGCAATCGATAGTAATTTGAACGTAATATAAAAATTGCATTTTAATACGCAAATGTCAGCTGTAAGCGTATCGCAAAATAATTTAAGAAAAATTGAACGAGTTAAAGCACCGACGAACAACTCACTCACTTTGTAGACCAGTTTTGCAGCCACCAGCCATCAGCCACCGGCCACCGACCATCCTTGGCTTCTGCATCCGCTTTGGTAGTGCAGCAGAGAGTCTTTTGTGTAGTTGCTTTTATTTAGCAACAGATGCCTCCTTCGTCCTCTGCCACATGTCGTGTAAACTGACGTTAATTTATGTTGTTCGAACACCGTAGAAGACGACAACGACGACGACGTGACATTCTCGTACCCGTCGTTATTCAATTGATATCCTCTACTTGACACGGTCGGCAAACTGCACGCGCCCACGCAACAACGTCCATTCACCGCTTGCTGGCTTTCAAATATTCCGCTCATGCGACACTTTTCAGTTCGCCTGCCGCACCTACTTAATGCGTTTATTTTTATTACGCCATGATTTTGTGCGCTTAAGCTCTACTTTTATGAAGATGTCTTCGACGAGCACAGGCGTACGACATGGCAACATGACCATCTGCAGGTAATACAGTGCGACAGTGTTGTTGTCGTCGGCGTCAGTGTTGGCGTCGGCGTCGGCATTTTCAGCATTGCAACGCGTCTATTAAAACGAAATGACACGCTACGCAATTCCACATAAGCTTGTGCACACAACAACACCATCTCGTGCGTAGGCAGTGTATGGATTCCTTTACCAAAACCCATTCGAAAGCACAGGTATTCGACCGCACATGCATACCTGCGTACGTACGTACGAATTTGAAGGATACACAACACAAACATGTAGATTCGCTTGTAACCTCGGTGTTTTGCATCTTTGGCGGTTCGGCTATGGGCATTGTTCAAATATCTGCGGCGCTTTGGCGGAGGTAGAAAATGTTGTAATTCATGTAGTTAACATTTTTCCAGTCAAACTTTGTTCAGCGAGCAAAGGATTCTTCATTGGGGACATATTTAAGTGTGAACTTTGATTTATTCTGTGTTGAACTACAGATGTGTGTATGCTTGTGTGAGTTGTGTGTTTGATTTTTTGATATATTTATCGCGAATTCCACATCAGTTGTAAAAAAAATGTACATTGAATGTGGTGTAAGCTTGCTTATCTTTATTCATTGCAGGTCTTTTGAACTTTCCGAGGTTTCAATCTGAGAGAGTGTTCGATTTCCTAGGATTAGTGCTGCAATTTTTAAAAGATGACAAACGGCCTGGCGACGTGGAGAGAAAAATGACTGCCGAGCGGTCAACTGTACACTTATGGGTTGAGATACATATATACCGAGAGTTAAAGAAGAAAGCGGGACGGATATGTCGACAAAAAAGCTTCGAAAACTCTACAGGTCGGAGCTTACTCTAGTAGAACCCAAAGATGTGATCTATCGACTGAAGTCCAGAGTCTATTGAATTTATGGAGAGTGTGCTGAATGACTGTGATAATGATTCCGTTATCAATGACGGTATGTGTGCCATATTCCATTGCCCGACTATGAAGAAGTTCGCATAGTACGACGGGAGCTTATGGATTGCCGATTGGGTTATTCAAATACGACGGCGAAGAACTGACAAGGGGCAGGTATGAACATTTTTGTTCGGACAAAAGCATTGCCGACCATAGGATTTTAAGCGTGCTCTACCCAATCCACCAAAAAGGAAGGGCTGAACAGTTTGCGCCAATTGCCGTGGGATAAGTCTCCTTAAAATCGCATACTAGGTCCTGTCGATTGCATTGTGTGAAAGACCAAGTCCCACCGTCAACACACTGAGTGGACCTTATCAGTGTGGGTAAGCTCCGTCAGAATTGGGAAAGACCTCTCTGAGCCGTTCTATACCAAACGAGGTTTGAGATAAGGCGACACCTTATCGTATGTCTTTTTTAATTTTTACTGGAGAAAGTTATAAGAGCAGCAGAGCTGAATAGAGAAGATACAATCTTCTATAAGAGTCTACAGCTGCTGGCAAATGCGACGAGTTCTGCTTTCTTCAGACGGTACCAGGAAGCGAAGGATATAGGTTTGGTTGTTAAGACGAAATATCTCCTGTCATCAAACAAACAGTCAGCGGAGAGTACCGCAACCGATGGAACGATACGCTGCTTGGGATATACGACGGAATGGACATAGCTCAGCGAATTAGGAGAGAGCGGTTCCGCTGTTTTGACCATGTTGCCGTGTGAATAAGAACACTCCAAGTACCCAGCGCTGGAAGTAGAGGAAGGGGAAGACTTCCACTCCGTTGGAAAGGTTAGGTGAAGGAAGACCTCCTCGACTTTTGTAACTCTTTTGGTGCCAAATAGCAAAAATAATAAAGGTTAGCATAGCGTACTGACATTCGGAAGGCTCGGGTTCATATCCCGGTGGCACCAGCATCCAGAAAGTTATGGATATTTAATTTAAAATAAAAAATTAAGTTAAATTTCCTAACTGTGATCGCCCCTCGATAGGGAATGTCCACTCCTCCGAGTGTATTTATGACATAAAATAAAAGCTGCTCATAAAAAACCATTGAAAGTTCGGAGACCAGGAGGAGCTCGGCCGCAAACCACTTCAGCGGTTACAAAGGGCCAATTATAGATATATGTATGTATATACAAGTATATATAAAGTACTAGTTTTCCTGACCTGTTCACTAAATACCAACTAACAGCGTTGAACTGTCGACGATTTTATGTCGCTTAAGCGAATTTTCTTGTTAAAAGGATTTCGAACCCATCATCATTTGGTTGCGCCATACTTTATTACACCACTAATAACTTGTCCCATTCAGGCTAAGAAGACAAATACAAATCCTTATATTATTTCATTCTCTACTCATACTGGCCGATACACCGGTACCACCGTGTTTGATATGCTGATTCGCGAAGATGACATGAAACATGCATTAAGGCGACAGCGACACTCTTGCAATGCGGCAACTAATTAAAAATTAATTACTCTGGCACTTTGGCGGTTGTTAACAATTTGGTTGTTATTGTTGCTGATATGGTAACACGGAGGTGTGATTCTGGCTTTACTTGAGCCTCGTGGGTTGGTTTAGCTGAGCTTTTTGTAAAATATGAATATTTGTATATTTGTATATTTGTAATGTGTCAGAATGTGATGGATTGGTTGGTTGTACCTGAAAAGTATTGACTGGCCACTTGTTAGTTGTGAAAAGCTGTGCCGTTAGTTTTTTGGTGCAGTAGCTGCAGAGCAGTGAGATGCGAAAATTCAGGATTTTTAAGTAATTTTAATTACATTAAACGAGCGGATCAAGAGTCACGCTTGGGTGAGACATTAGCTGAACGGAAAGAGAAGACCCTGCTATTGATATCGGCCTCTACGTGAGGTGAACCTCAGATGAATAATATTTATTTTGATTTAAGCACCACAGTGAAGTCCGATCCATTTTAACTGGAGTTAGGTTTTAGAGTGAGGAATCTCAAGTCCAGTGTGCAGCCACGCATAACGGGGAAATAGATTTGAAAATACATTTAATCTAACTCCAGTGAAAACGGATCAGACTCTACTGTGTCGTTTAAATTGAGTTAAATGTTATTCTTCCGAGACCAACCAAACCACTCGCAGTGGAATTTCTGGAACGTACGCTGCAATAAGATGTCAGCGAACCCTTAAACTAAGTATGTCAGAATGACTGCATATAATCTACCTCCGATTTAGCACAACCTCCACGGGTAGATCACCGCATCTCGTACAAGATTTGTTCACTTTTCTAAGGGCGTCCAAAGCTAGGAATTGAGAACTATTGTACTACACTCGACGGGAGTTTTTTAACAAGTTCGAGGGAAGAGCTGCTACGATGAGGAATGTCGCACCGAAGTGGTCCGAAACAAGACTGAGTATATCACACCCTTGAGAGTTGAAGAGGGATGCGAGTCGCATGTGCAGACAGATGTACGGGAAATGAAGAGCTGGAGTAGCTGGCAGACATGGGTAATGCTCGAAGATCCCATGAAAAGATGCGGCGACTTACATAAGATCCTCAGACATGAGCATATTCATGTTAGCACCAAGGAGGAAAGAGATGGGCTGTGAACTGCTGTGAGAGCGAAACGCCGGAACTGACAATCGGCATCTAAGTAAGCCTTAAAATTTGACTTGGAAAACTTCTTCGTGGAATACATCGGTTGTAAGTTGAAACCTCTTTTTTCATATGCTGTTTGGATGCTCGTAAAGAAAGCAACAAAGCAAAAGATGACGAATTTCCATCTAAAAAGTCTACCCTCTTCTTGGCTGTACTGACACGTCTTGAGGGTTTAGCGACGGTATCAACGGGTTTTTCATTTACTAAATCGATAACGTCAAACTCATGATTATAAAATAGATTAAAAAATTATCACGAACTCTTATCGGCCATTGTGAGAATATGTACATATATAAAAGCCAACATCAGTGGGCGCAGACCAGTAGCTGACTTCTAATACTGACGACCAACAGAATGAAATTCTTTTTGCTTTGTTTCGTACTTATCGGCACGGCGCTTGCAACGCCAGAAACCTCACTTTATGAACGCTTGGCAACGGTTTTGGCGAAAAATCTTCAACCAGAGACACGCATCGTTGGCGGCACACCAGCCGCCAAATCGCAGGTGACACCTTATTTGGTTTCGTTGAGTGCTTCATCTCTAGCCTATGCACACGTCTGTGCAGGTGCCATAATCGGTAAGGAATGGGTACTAACAGCGGCCCATTGTTTGAGTGAATTGCAGAAATCTGCTGTTAGTGTTATTGGTCTACCTATCTACGCCGGCTTACAGGATCGTTCAAATGTTGAGAATGCACAAGTGCGTAATATTGATTTCGCCTTCGCACACAAACAATTCAATGTCAGCGATGTGAGTTCGCCCGACATTGCGCTTTTGCATGTCGCGCAAGGTTTCGACTTCAGCGCTAGTGTCAACTCGGCTATTTTGCCATATGCGCAGGAGAGCTATGCCAACCAAACTGCACTGACTTATGGCTGGGGTTTGACTAGCGCAGGGGCTGAACAGTTTGTACAGGAATTACAAGTAGCCAATTCAACGATACTGTCTGTGGAACAATGCAGCGAAGTGTTGCCCGAGGATGCGCCACTTGGTGCGAATAAAATTTGTGCAGCTACCTCTGCTTGCTTCGGCGATGGTGGTAGTCCTTTGGTGTATGAAACTAGTGGAGGATCTGAATTGGTCGGCATTACCTCGTGGAGTTACTTGCCTTGCGGCACTGAAGGACGTCCAGCGGTGTATACCGAGGTTTCTCGTTTTGTTAAGTGGATCGCGGAGGTGCAATGGGCTTATTATGTGTTGAATTGAGGAAAAAAGTTAAATATTCATATAAAGATTCCACATTAAAGAAATATATGTATGAGCTTGTAAAAAATCTTGCTATTATTTATTGGATTATTCAAATGTGGCTAATCTGGTCACTTCAATAAGTTGTAAATCTGTGAAAGTAATCTAATCTGGTTTGACATGTGTGAAATGGTTATCAAATGGTCACTCCTTTTTAATTTATGGCTTGCGATAAGCTATATAAGTTGTTATACCAAAAGTGTTCCAAATTTTTGGATTACGAACTGCCTGGCAGGCATCAAAGAGCTGTGCCTACGTGTATTTTAAGCGAGGAAATATGTTTGGAACAACAGTAATCTTTGTTGCTATGAAAAATGCCTAAGTTGTCATAAAAGCCTATTTTACAGAGACGAGTTAACCATGGGTTACCCTTAACTCATATATGGAGACTTTGAAAAATAACTCTACTCATTCAGCTGATCTTATAATACATACATACGTGTATGAATATATTTGGCTTCTTGTAACCGCTGAAGCGATTTTCTGCCGAGCTCCTCCTAAAGTTTCTGGTTTTGCGTCTTGTGAGGAGCCTTTTTTCCTGACTTGGGGCGAGCGCAATTAGATAAATTAATTTGGGAATTGTGAGAAATGTCAGTAATAATAAGTCAGTGCCAAAATGTCAAAATCTCGCTCTCCCGGTGTAAAATTTATTGTTTTTGGGCCTCTCCGAACGCAGTTCAGTAAAAATTGGTAACAATTGTTATTGCTCAGCTGCTCGCCGAACACACTAACAGGCCCATTCTGTTGAGGTAATAAAATTTCCTTTGGTATTAAAATTTGCCACTCAGTAAATTTTGTTTCTATTTCGTATTCTGAGTTCATATGTACATACAAACTTACGCTAAAAAATTTGTTTAAAAATGTTATGCAAATTACCATTGAACAAATTATAAAAACAAAAATCAATTTGTAAGCCAAAGAAAAATTCCACTTAACCATAATAGAGATGCAGAACGACAGTCATGACCATTAACGGCCGCTGCACCTGCTTCAATGGTCCGATTTGCATTAGATGGCGAAAATGCTGAGAATGGAAAAAAAGTATGCAGTGTGTAAAAAAAGAGTAATAATCAATTATCTATCGAATTTCGCGTGTTTATTCGCTGGTGGCCTGTGAAGCTCCTTGCAGCTGAGAATTTGTTACAACACGTCTGGTATTGCGTTGCTGCAGGAGAATTGTTGTAGTAGTTTTTTTTGTGGTAGGCCGATGGAAATGAGTTATTATTATTAAAATCAACTTTCAGTGAGGCAAAAAGTCAGTAAAATTTGAAGTGACAATACGCACTGTTTCCGATTATTGGTGCCGTACCCTTAATGTTGGTGCCAAATTTATGGCTAAATCTACCAGCTAAACAGCTGAATGCTTCTTTGTTGCGTTTTTTTTTTGTTAATTTTTTGGGTTTCGAGAATATCAATTTTTTTATAAACAAAAGTATGGACTAAAATCGTTGTTTGTGACTAAGGTGCCATTAATCGATGCGAAAGTCGATTTACATTGTTCGTCCTTTCAATTGCCAGCTTGAATTACTCCGTTTATACGGCATGAAATTTGACAGTTCTCTGTTTCCCTGGCTTAATTTTTTTTTTGCTTCATTTGAAAGCTCCGGAAAAGTGAAAGTTTTTTAATAAAGGTATATTGAAATGAATTGGTGATGTAAGTGCCATGTGGAATCCGGCAAAGAAATTTCTGTCAAAAGTAACTACATATATGTTTCTGATTATAATTTCAACAAATTTAATATTTTTGCCTGCATATCTTACCTTTCTTTAATAATTTCAAAATTTTTCATTTTTAATATACAAATAATGTTTGGTTTCAAATAAAAGTTAGTATTTTAATGCATTTTTTTATGGGATTACGACAGCTGATTTCGATGAAATTCCTATGAAAATTAGAGAAGACAACGATTTGCTCATAATTCGCATGTAATCGAAAATGAACTACTTATTTTTTGCGTAATTCGCTCTACAAATTTTGTATGGGGAATTATGTACCAAGAAAGCAAATATTTAAACTTACATTAAGCATTTTGTTGTTGGAAAATAATTAATAATATATGCTAATTTTTTCCTTCATTTTCATATTTTACGCGAAATGCATAATGGATAAATGCAATATCCGGCTAGACAGTAAAAAATTTAAGGCTAAAGACGTTGTAGTAGCAAAGCGCAAAATCAGAAAACTTACCGAACTCGAGACAGAAAATTAAACGTAGTCGCTTTCCATTTCAATATTCTAGTTAATCAATCGTTTTTCCATGTTTTCTTAAGATTTTCTCAGGTGTATAATTGAATTTGCTGGATAACGTAAATGGTAACCTAATTATTTTCAAATATTGAAACCATAACTGTTAAATTTTTAAACATGTTTTAATGGGTTAATTCAACTTAACAGTTTTAGGGACACTGAATGACAGCTGTTGAATAAAAACTGATAAACTCTTGGCAGCTCTGCTTTAAACTAAATGTCAAAAACTAAACAAATTTTAAACAAACTTTGTCTCAGCTATATAAATAAACAAATATCTTAATAACTTTTGTAGCACTTGTTATTTCAACAAAATGGGGAAGCGGCAGCATCAAAAAGATAAGATGTAAGTTTTGATCTTTTAAAATTTTAAACGCTCTGGATATAGTTTAATGCACTCTCTTTAACAGGTACCTCACGTACACGGAGTGGTCCGAGCTGTACGGCGGCAAGAAAGTGGAGTCGGCGGAGAATGAACACATTAAATTCAAGCGTCTACCCTATGATCACTGTTGCATTACTATGGTGCCCTTTGATACACCCTATAGTGATCTAGATGGCAACGTATTTAGCTTTGAGGCAATACATGCATTTATCAAAACATTCAAAGTGAATCCCATAACAGGCAAATCGGCGGATGTAAAAGTTTTAATTAAATTAAATTTTCATAAAAATGCTGAAGGTGAATACCATTGTCCGGCGCTATTTAAACCATTTACTAAAAATTCACACATTGTTGCTTTGGCTACAACCGGTAATGTGTACTCTTGGGAAGCTATTGAACAGTTGAATGTTAAAGCGAAAAATTGGAAAGATCTTATCGATGATTCATCATTTACACGCAAAGATATAATCACTATCCAAGATCCGCATCACTTAGAAAAGTTTGATATATCTCGTTTCCATCATATACGTAAAAATTTGCGCGTACTCTCGGAGGAGGAACAATTGGAACGAAAAGATCCAACGAAACGTATAAAAACTATGAATTTAGAAACTAAGGAAACGTTAGCGCAATTGGAGAAAGACTATCAGCCAGCAGAAGAGGCGCCAAGTACATCCAAACGCACTGCTGATAAGTTCAACGCAGCACATTACTCTACAGGCGCAGTCGCTGCCAGTTTTACTTCCACCGCAATGGCACCTGTTTATAATTCTGAAGCAGCGATCATAGAAGATGATTTAGTTAAATATGAACGTGTGAAGAAGAAGGGTTATGTACGATTGCAAACAAATTGTGGACCTCTCAATTTTGAATTATATTGCGATGCTATTCCGCGGGCATGTGATAATTTTATACGGCATTGTAGTGATGGCTATTACAATAACACAAAATTTCACCGCTCGATACGAAACTTTATGGTATTCCGTTATAAAAGAATTTTATATAAAACTGGTTGGGAGTTTAACATTTCCTTGTTCCAGATACAAGGTGGTGATCCAACTGGCACTGGCACGGGTGGCACATCAATATGGGGTAAAAAATTTGATGATGAATTCAAACCTAATCTTTCTCACTCCGGACGTGGTATGCTTTCAATGGCCAATTCTGGCCCAAACACTAATGGATCTCAATTGTAAAACCAAAATGTTTTTCTGTATGATAAAGTAGGCTCTTTATATTGTTCATTCTTTAATTTTCAGTTTCATAACATATCGTTCCTGCAAGCATCTAGATGGTAAACATACAGTTTTTGGAAAATTAGTTGGTGGTATGGATACACTAACCCAAATGGAAAAGGTTGAAGTAGACAATAAGGATCGTCCCATCGAGGATATAGTCATCGAATCCGCACAAGTCTTTGTCGATCCATTCAAGGAGGCGTTAGAAGAATTGGAGAAAGAACGCGCAGCAGAGGTTGAAAAACAAGTGCAAGTCGCAGCTGAAGTGAAAAAACAAAAACGCTTAAATGAACCACTAAAAGTCTATCGACAAGGTGTTGGCAAGTATTTGAATCTGAAAGAAGTAAAGGCAAACAGCACCCCGGACAGTAGTGGAAAAATCGATGCGACAAAAAAGAAACAAAAATCATTAGGGAAAGCAAGTTTTGGAGATTTTTCTGGTTGGTAGCTTTACAATTCTCGTATAAAATTTTAAAAATTGCAAACAATTTTATTGAAAACTTAATAATAAAAATAAGTAAAGTATTTCAGTTTGTGGTCTTATCATTACCTTCACTAAGTACTTGCTCACGCTCCTTCCAATTCTTTTTCAATTCTTTTAATTTCTGCTGTCTGCGTTTACGTTCAACTGACTTTTTCGACTCGAGTACTTTTAGCTGCGCAGCAACCGCATTCTCGCCATTGAAATGTGCATCTAACTTTTCTAATAAAAGTTTACGTGCTTCTACGCGATTTTTGGATGCCAAACGATGTGTATGGCATTTTACCGTTAAGTTCGTTGGAATATGACGCAAGAACACACAATTGGAAGTTTTATTTACAGACTGACCGCCTGGACCACTGCCACGCATAAAATCTTCTTCCAATTCGTTTTCATTCAATTTAGGATATTTGGAGTAGTCTACTTTGCTATTAACACTTTTGAAGCGACAGGAAAGCACCGAAATTTCGCAACCAACATGCCATATGCTATTGCGAGCCGCAAGCACTCCCGTGAGGCGTTGTAACATTGTGTTGTTACTATGTGGGTTAGACGATGCGTCCTTTCCGTAAAAGCGTTTCACCACGCTGAAAATTAATGGTAAATAAAACATTAGCACTGTTCTTTATTCCAACAAATTGATTTACCTTAAAATTAAATTCAATCTGAGCGGGATCGCGTAATTCACGCCCTTCTTTGAACTCAAGTCTTATGCGACCAAGGAAGTAGTTTTTATCTGTTAATTGCAATTGATTACCGTAACGTATAAGATGCTTGTAGAGCCTTAGTATTTGTTGTTTGGATGGTTGAAACATTTCGCACTATTATTTATATTTTATTTAATAACTTTGCAATTAGATTTTCTTTCTCACATAGCATATTTGGTTAAATAAGATTGCGCGGAAACAGCTGTTTGGTAATGTATATATATCAGCTGTTTTGTTATGGTACTAAAACTGCATTTGTTCATACTGCTCACAAACTGATACTGACATTTTGAGCGCTAAGCTAATGCATAGCAATTTTTTGAAAGCCCTTGTTTTTTGAATTTGAACGAAGAGCCCACATAATCTTAAAATAAAAGGTGAAACAAGTAAATTGGTTGTACCGCCAATAACGACCCTTCATAATTCTGACTGGAAATGAAGAAAACTCATTCGACTCTCCAGTCCTACGGTAAGAGTAAACTTTATTCATCGTATTTGTATATAAAGTATATAACGTAGTTTTCCCAAACGTCAGGCTGGCGGTTGCTCCCAAATTATCGCTTAGAAGTAGTGAATTAAAGATAGTGTCCCCATTGTTAATGCGGAAAATAAGTAAAAAGTAGTTCAATTTGGGATTTGGTATGTTTTGATATGATAACCAAGGCATGAAAATTCAATGTGCATAGAATTTGACGTTCTTATTTTTCTCATTTTCTTCATCAACCCCTCCACTATTGCGTTCTGCACAGAAAGAAGTTCAATGTCTTGCATTAGCCGGTCCAAGTGCGTTGTATACTTATATAAACGATATATTTAAGCATACATACGTATATATGTATATGACGTATATATGTATATGACATACCAGCTGCCCATTATTTAAGCAATGAGGCATAACAATTTCCTTAATAATACGTACATACCACAAAATTGAAGCACTTCAACTTCATAGACTCCGCTTAGAGGAATGCAAATTTAAATTCCACATTCTCACTGTCCCACCATACGTCATGCACACTTCATTCACCATTTCCTCGTCATATTCATTGGGTCAGTACAAATCTCGAAGACATCACTCTCCGTTGGCTTGGATCAAAACTTGTCAGTTTAATTGGACATTCCAGACAACATTGCAAATGGACTTTCCACAATCAGGTGATCGAGTACAAACAGCCGGTAAACCAAGTACTGCCTACCCATTCCGGTGGCTAAGTGCGCAATAATGGTGAGTAAAGTACATAAAATATGTCTATTTTGTGTTTACCGTGATTATATCGGGACGAATAATCGCGACACTGAATGCTGACTGCACAAAAGGAAGTGGGGTGAGTCTACTTTGTTTAGAAAAATCACAAATAATATACGTAAGCCAATCTTAGATGCTGATCGGAAAGCGCGATTGAGCTGTTGTTAATCAGACAGATGCTCGTCTTAGTGTACGAATTTCAATGAATGTTGACTGCTGCGTCTGCAAATATTGCTTGCATACCATTTTCTTTGGCTGCCGGTTGTTGGCTGGAGATGGCGACGTCGTTAATTGCCACTTGCTTGACTGCTGGAAGTTATCCAAACAATCGCACGCTTTTTTGATGGCGTTTTCAGATTCATCTGAAGTAGTGAATGAATGAATGAATGTATGAATGGCTCTGATGCATTGCTGGTTGTTACCACTTGCCATTACCTTACTCTTCATTGTTGTTGTTTTTGTTGCTGTTGTTGGCATTGTCGCATGCTGGCGGCAGCAATCGATAAATGCCTTCAATTATCACCAATTCATCATCTAGTGTGGCAAATGGCTTTCGCGGGCATTTTCGCTTAATTGGCCAACATGAATTGATCGGTATGTCGGCTGTGGTTATGCGCTGCTGCTGCTATTGCTGTTGCCCCGTACGTATTCAATCTTTGATTTGAATCTTGTTGTGCTCGCCTTACGGCTATTATTTGTTGATCTCTTGGCAAAAGATCAAAATGTTTCTTGAAAGCTTTTGACGCTTGCAACTTCTAAATTTCCATTTTGATCGCTTTAAAATGACGGTTAATGGAGGGATTAGAGATTTAAATAGAGAAATTGCATACGGAAATCAATACTCAAACTGTATATATATGTACATATGTATGTATATGGGTTAAAATTGTACAGAAGTAATGCCATAGGGCTCATTTATTTTTTTAAGCTGAGTTTTGAAGTCTCCCCAAAGCCAAAACGTATCATACGAATTATTGACTTTGTAGACAGAGTATTCGTCTGAATTCGTCCGAGATTGATGAATATGAAAGTGTATTGGAATGTCTTAAATTTACATATCCTTCTGCGTCTATTAAAACCAATACATAAAATGACCAAAAATAATAGGCCTCACCAAAGGTTCCTCAAAATTGAAGCAGTTCATTGCTGATTTGACTTGAATAAGATAGACAGTTGTTCGCTCTCAATCGTAATTCGTAATACGAATTTGCTTTTTTCCTTAACTATCGATTAATATTATAAAAAAAATCGATATCTATACCAGTCATGGTTTATTTTCCTTTTTAACCAAATTTTGCTTTTCCACTTACATTTACTTCCACACATATGTATGTACATATGGACCAGCACACTTAATCACACACACACAAATCTTAATTGAACTAATTCCGCCAAAATGGCGCGAATTATCAAACGCCATGTTCGAATTGAAAACAAGAAATAAAATATAACGTGCAATCGAAATACTTACGTTTCTCGTCTGAATGGTTACACGCGTACACACACATACTTAAGTACGTATATATATACATATGTATGTACATATATTACTCCATAATAAATAGTAAAAATAAAAAAAGTGCATGAAAAGTTGATTTTTAAAATCCATGCAACAACAAAATTTTCGAAATAAATCACTAGACGCAACCAATCAGGTGCATTTCGATTGATTATTTGTAATAAAAATATGCGTAAAAATAAAATAAAATAAATTAACCTGAAAACCTGACACGAAAACCAGCTGAAGTGATTGTAAATCTATGTAAGTATATATGTATGTAATTGTGAATGTTTGTAATGCGTTAAGGTCTTTTTCATAACGACTCTGACAATCAGATCTTTTTCAAATGCGTATTGAAAATTTTAATTTTTTTGTGTTTAAATTTTGCAAAACAAGACTTAAACGCAAGCGAACGTGAAATAACATATATTCGTACAGTTGCACATACATATGTCACATGCAGGGTATACACACATATCTTATATATTGATATATGTACTATATACTTGTATGTATATGGCTTAATAGATGCGATGAAAGTCACACAAAATTTACTTTGAATTCAAATAAATTAAATTTTGTTTTTATGTTTCATAATATTATGTTTTATATTTCATTTTAGTTTATAATTTTTTATATTTTATTTTTTTATGTATTTATTATTTAATGCATTTTATTATTTTATTGAATTTAGTCTTATTATGTCTTACTATATTTAATTTTTTTCTCTTTTTGTTTTTTATTTCCTTTTATTTTAAATTAATAATTTTTATTTAATTTTAAACTATTATTGTAGTTGCTCTTGTTCTCATTAGCTTTATTTAAATTTGTTTTCATTAATTTGCTTTCTTTGTTTTCTTATTTATGTATATTTACCTTTCTGATATTTTATTTTGTTTGCACTTATTTTATTGTAATTAATTTTAGTTTATTGCATTTTATTTCATTAATTTCTCATTTATTTTTCTAAAGCCAAATTAGCTCATTTAATTTTATTTTTTTTATGGTATTTTATTTTAATTATATTTAAAAAATATTTTATTGTGTTTTAATTCATTTCATTTTTATATGCTGTTTTTTGTTATTTAATTTCATTTTAATTAATTTTAGTTCAATTTATTACATTGCATTTTATTCGCTTTATTTTATTTCCTTTCATTTCTCTTTTAATTTTATTTAATTATTTTATTTCACTGTGTGTTAGTTTATTTTTATTTTCACGTACTTTGTATTCATATATTTTAGTTCTTTTTTATTATATTTTATTATATAGTATTTATGTTTAGCTTTATTTTCTTTCTTGTATTTTGTTTTCTGTTTCATTCAATTTTTTAATTAATTTTTTTTTGCTTTATCTTATTTTTTAAGTTTTATTTTACTGCATTTTATTTTTATTTTTAATTTTTTTATTTTCATTTTCTTTTAGTTTTTTGTTTTGTTTTTGTTTCAATTCATTTAAATTTGGTTTTTTATTTAATTTTTGCAATTTATTTTGTTTTATTTTATTATAATCAATTTTGTTTTAGTTTATTTTCCTTCTGTTATTTTTTTAGTTTAATTTAATTTTACTGTGTGTTATTTAATTTGTTTTCATTCTATTTATAATTTGCAAATTTCATTATAATTTCTTTAGTTTATTTTATTATTTTGTTTATTTTTTTTAATTTAATAAATTTGAACTTTTTTATTTCACTTTAATTTTTTTTCATTATACTTTGTTAAATATTATTTTTTGTTGTATTTTAATTATTGTTATTTAATTATTTTCTCTTTTATTTTAGTTCATTGGATTTTATGAATTTTTAATTATATTCAAATTAATTTTATTTTAATTCAATTTCATATTTTTTATTCATATTTTGTCTTTGTTTATTTTTAATTCATTTTTTAGTTTTTATTAATTTGAGTGAGTCTGAAATTGAGTTGAAAAAAATAGTTCATTGAATTTTTTTGTTTTATAAATTTTTAATTTAATTTAATTTTAATTCATTTTATTTTATTTATATTTTGTCTTTTTTTAATTTAATTTACTCTTAAATTTTTTTTATTTTATATTATTAAATCTTTATTTGAGTGAGTCTGAAGACGAGTTGAAAAATATATGTATGTATGCAATTGAATTGCTGAATTTCCCCTCAATTCACGATCCACACAACACTTGTTTATAGCTCAAACTGATTTTGTTACAACTCCAACGGGCTGCAGCAACACGTTGTAAATACCGTTGCATTTCTTCGAACAAATTGAAATATTTTTCCCTTGCATATGGTCGCCTTCAAAACGAATGCTGCGCATGCGCAACACTCTAAATGACATGCATTATTTGTTTGTGTCAACGTGAGGTAAAAGCTATCACCGAATCGACTCTATTTCTAATCAACGCTTGTCGGTAGCTGCTAGCGCTTCCCGGTTGAACTGGTTCATTACAATCTCAGTGTACACTTATTTGCTTTTTAGAATTTTTTTCGTTTTGTGTCTTTTTGGTGACGAATAGTCACGCGATGAATGATGCTCTATCGCCCGTCAGCAACAATTGCCGCGCCCAACAACCCACAAAAAACATCAAACCATTTGCATCGCCTGTAAAATGTCAGTTGCGTGCGTATTTCATATGTCTAGTTGGGTACAGTGGTTAGGAAGCTACAAAATTCATTCAAAAAAAGGAGTTCATAAAATTATTCCAGAACGTGGATGTGTCTTTGACTCTCTTTATTTTTTTAGCATGGCCGTTAGTGAAAACTCCTCAAAGTACCTTAGTATCTACTGATTATTTAGGTTTCCTGGTATTCTCCGTAAAATCTATCTATATCTTTTCGGATAGCCATGCAGCCTTGAGAGCGAGGGAATCTATAGTGATAAATTCAGAACTGGTAGGAATCACCGCAGAATACTTAAGGTGATGACTAAGCAGTTTTCTCTGAACCTTGTATGTGAGCCAGGGCACAGTAAGATACCGCGTAATGAGATGCTGGCTTTAAATAGAAGAGAATTATGTGGTCGACATGATATAATAGAAGGCCACCAGAGCTTATAAGTATATTACCCATGATTGGAGTTTTAAAGCAGCCAAAGCGTTTTTCGTCCGCCTTGACCACTAAGGTATTGCTGCCACCAGAGTTTAGCGTTTTAGAGACTTTATACGAATAGCGGTTGGAAGCTATTAATATCCTTAGTGGTTTCACAATGAACCCGTTTGGTGTTGTAAGGGAAGGCGCCGTTCTGCTTTCTGTAAGATTGACAAAGCAGCGAGGCGAGTGGGTCTGGTAGTGAACGAGGGCAATTTGAAATATCTCATGCCATTAAAAAAACACACTCATCGCGTGCGCGACTTGGCTCCTACGTCACTGTTGACAATTATATAGAGACCAGCATTAATACCAACATCAATGTCAGCCTTGAAATCCAATGTAGAATCACTCTTACCAGCAGGTGTTACTTTGAACTGAGAAAGCAATTGAAAAGATCTCTCTCGACGAACGAAAACCAAACTCTACAAGTCGCTCATCATACCCTTGTTGTTGTTGCAACCGCAAAATATTCCCTAAAGTACTTTTTGGGGAATGTTGCGGGAGTGACAGTACTTGGCCGGATAAAAATCCGGGTTGTTCCGGTATAAAGACGGGACTGTCGCGGGAACTATTGGATTTTAGTCGCATCTTACGACAGGCATGCCTTACCGCGAGGAAATTCTTGAACCTGTAACCCGCGTGATGAGAAAACGTTCAGCATACCGGTGCTACTACGAGTATATGGTGAAGAAGCATGAGCGATGTCAACATTCAATAAAATTGCCCTGCGAGTCTTCGAGAAAAAAGTTTTGCGAACCATTGCGTATTGGCTACGAAACAATGCAACGATGAGATCTACGAGTTATACGGTGAAATTGGTATAGTTCAGCGAATGAAGAGACAACGGCTACCAATCCAGCGTCACGTCGTCCGAATCACTGAAATCGCTCATATTTTGAATGTATTTGATGCAGTACCCGCCAGTGGAAGCAAAGGAAGTTGAAGACCAGCACTCCGTTGCATGGATTAGGTGGAGCGGGACTTGGTTCCACTTGGCATTTCCAACTGTTGCCAAACAGCGAAGAGAAGAACTGCATGGCGCGCTATTGCTTATGAGGCTATACTCGCGTGAGCGGTACCCACACTAGTGAAGAAGATTTATACCTCATTTTTGGCCAACTTTAACGTGCTTCCGCCACACTGTTCCAAGAGGAATACACAATGCAAACTCAATTGCGTGCTAGCGAGGAGAGATGACTGCTGGAATGAACTGTCAACTGCCACAGCAATTACAATTTTAAGCCATTTGCCAAGATTTGGAGTGGAAAAATTGTTCACTTTAAATGGGGAATATTATTCATGCTATATTTAATATATATATACATATATATATGTATATAACACATTTCACAGCACAGTTTATTACAAACTTTGGTTTACGAACGTGATTTATATATAATCAAAACCTTTAAATATATCAATATTATCTTTCTTCACACGATCATAGAGTTCCTTCACTTGATGCGATGTTTCGCGATCGAGTTCCTCGCCGCCACGCTTGAAAGTATCGTCGCGAACTTCTTCTGGAGTGAATTGCCGTATAAGCATATCCCCCATCGCTTCAGTATTTGGCTCAACGAGCTGCATGAGAAAGTGTGACGCAATGCTAACCCCTAAGGGCATGACGCGTCCATATTCGCGTAGCAGAGAGTCACGACTAGAAAAAGGAAGATAAATAATTTGTATGTACGTAAAAAGCCAATAAGAAATGGTTAAGAGTATGGAGTTTGCTTTCAACAAACCTCAAATAATCAGGTATCTCTGTTTCTTGCGCAATCCTTTTGAATGATCCCACCAATTGATTATAATATTGTTCGAAGATCTCATCGAAGTGTTTGTGGCGTACCTCCGTATAAGCGGATAAGGATAAGTAGGTGGTGAAATCTATCATAGGCGAAGAGACACGCATGGTTTGCAGATCGAACATCAGCGCTTCAATTGGTTCTTCTGAGCCCTGCAAAGAGAGTGCGAGAGAGAGAGAGAGAGAGAGAGAGAAATTTTGTAAATACATTCTTCCAGAGTAACATATTCCATACACACATTCACTTTGGCATATTTGAATGCAATATTATTACGCAGATAATCGCCATGACACAAGGTTGATAACGGCTCCACCGGCGCAACCATTCTCTTGCCAAATTCTATATAGTTTCGAATCATTTTCTGAAACTTGGACAGAAACTCTTTGTCAACTGCTGGTTGATACTTTTGCGTAGCGAGCTCAATACGATCTGCGCTAAACTCGGTTATCAAACGCCATTCGGGATGCATTTCCACGACATCATATCGAGGCTCTTTCAAATGTTTCGTCAGACGTTCGAATTCCGCGGGTTTTTTGTGTTTCAAAGCAAAGCCGATGCCATGGAAAGTGCCAAGCTCCTTCACTATAGAAATGAGAAAATTATGAAAACATTAATATGAGAAATTTTAATGTGAACTCTTTTCTCTCTCTCTCTCTCTCTCTCTCTCTCCAACTTACTTGCCACGAGCGCATGCGCTAATGATAGGTTCACTTTCTGCTTGGCCACACGCCAGTTCTTCTCTCCAAAGTCCTGCAGCACAACTATTGCCGAGTTCTTTTTTAAATCTCCATAATAGAAACGTGGTATGTTGAATGTTTGTTGTGCAAAAGCCTCTATCGAAGGTATAATTTCGTTATAGGTGAAAATTTCATTGCCGAAGAGTGCACCGAATTGTATGGAATCGAATGTTTCTTGCGGTAGGTTTGGTGTTTTCTGGAATTTGTTGGAATTAGTGTTCCGTATATATATAAGAGACAGAGTGCAAGCATGCAAAATACGTAAGTTTGTTAATTAGAAATAATATAAATGAGTTACATACATACATATACAATAGAATACAATTGTTTTGTTAAAGCCACCCACAACCAAGTTCATAACAACTTTATTAAGCCTCGCTATAGATAAGAGCCGTTGGATTTCTATGAGAGCAGTTGTATGTGTGCGAATTTTGACGTAAATTATCAGTTCAAAACCGCGAACCGACATCATTGCTTTCGCTTTTTTGCGCAGTCATTGTCGTTCCAGTTTCTTCAGCAACAAATTGAATTCAATTTTATCTCGTAAGATTATCATGACGGACTATTTACGTGTATGAGCCTCGTATTGATAAGTTTTGTTGTTTTACGTCATGTATCTTCAAAATTTTCTACGTTTTTAAAAAATCCAAAAAGAAATCTCTTAACCTACATATAATATATGGTTTAACCTTAAATGGTTACAATGGAAATCCAGGAAGTACTGTACTAGTAGATTAGCTACATCTATATGGTATTCCCTTTCCTAGACACTCATCAGCTGATTTCTTAATGGATAAAAGAAAAGCAAGCAAAGTGACGTTAGTCCTGTTCGGTGAGCTGATAAGCAATAACAATTGTTACCATTTTTACGGCAGACAGTCTTATTCTCACTGCTACCGGTAAAGTAAATTTTGTTACCTTTCTTTAACACTCGAAATTGAATTTGGTATTCTGGCGAACTGGTTAAAATGTTTGAAAAAAAATTTGGCAGCACTGCTTTTTTCGTCCATGTCAAATTATATTTGGCAGTTGATAAAGTAAAGAGAAAAATATTCACATCGAAATGGAAGACGGTGCACAAAAAAATTAAAAAGTTTTATTAATTTGTTTATTAAATCTTAAATATTGGAACTTAATTATGGAAAATATGCCTGGACAAAAAAAAAAAAGCTGAATGAAAACGTTATCTTACAAATTAAAGCGCTATTTTTCAGTCTCGAAAACTTCTTAAAATACGGCTTTTTGCACTTTTTTCTTCATCTTCAATGAATTCCAGGCCTAAAATATGCCTACCCATTTTGGTTTTTTATTTTTTCTCAAATGTACAACACAAAATCAAACAGCAGTTATTTCTGTTACTTGCTATAATATTTCGCTGGTAACAAAATTTACAGGGTAACAGTGAGCTCAGAATACGAAATAGTAACAAAATTTATTGAATGGTAAATTTTAATACCTAGGCAAATTTTGTTACCACGACAGAATAAGCCTGAGAATGTAAATTATGCATTTCGTTACTGGCTAATTCTTACTGCCATCCCTAAATTGGAGCGTTGGGCACTAAACAACTGGCCATACAATTTGGGTCATTCCACAATAATGCGGCGTCAACGTTGAGCCAATGGAATTTTGAATTTCTAAAGCGCGTTATATGATGAAGTTAGATGTGAAGGATAAAAGTGCGAAGGCAAGGAGAAAATACTGACGAAGAGGAGTAGCCAAATGGGAGAAAATCTTGACAAATAAATAGTATTTTGCATATAAAATGATAAATATACACCAAAAAATTAATGCAACTGTCGGAGGCACACTTTTGCTGACCGATTAAGTTCGTAGTGTCTTGTTTGAAATAAATGCAATTAATTTATTACATTTTTTTAAAATAATATGAACTCGAGGAGAGAGAGACTGTTAGTTTGGGATAGCGAGCGTTGCCACTCATTGGCGTTCGAAAACGTTACGCCGAACGCTCCAATTTAGGTATGTCAGTTACTGACAATTATATAATTCTGCAATCTGTCAAACCAAATACGTTTTGTTTTAGTTAAAAGTCAAACATTTATGAAAATGGATCGCTTAAGAACCCTAACACGCGAAATGCCATTGCACCCAAACAAACTTACCATCTGGTGCACTCTTTGGTCCGGAGTTGTGATGGGAAACAATGACGAGACTGTCACTGTCAATTCTGAGCTTTATTGTCGTATGGTAAAAAACTTTTTTGACCTACAATTGAAGAAGACTACCTGGTGGTTTTAACAAGAAGGCACCACATGCCATACAACACGAGTGAAAATGGTTTTATTGTGAGAGAAATTTCCCGGCATTATAATCTCTCATCTTGGCAATATCAATTGGCCACCGAGCGAGTGCGATTTCACACTGTTGGACTCTCTTTTGTAGGGCTACGCGAAAGACCTCGTTATTGATTCTACTTCTTAAACTCTTGCGCACTTGAAAACCAACATTCGTCAAGTTATGGCTAAGGTGATACCGCCCAATATGCATCGGAAGTGGTCGAAAATTAGCTCAAACAGACCGAAAATTGGAAAAAATTCGCAAGACGGTTATTTAAACGATCGATGTAGTAGTTCACATTTAGAATTTTCTATTAAAAAAAATTATTTTATGTAAAAAAAAATAAATAAATAATTTTCGAAAACGCAAAATGGGTAAGCCCATACACAAATATATGCATAAGTACATATAAATTTGACATGAATTTTAGTACAATAATTTATAACAACTGTTTTGTAAATCAGCTGAATCAGAAGAATCAATACAAATACATTGTACGTATGTTTCCACGTGCTTTGAAATCTACTTAATGAAAACAATGTGCATAATTAGGGCAGGTCCACAATCTTGCTTTCACGACCGACCAACTTTGTTGTAAACAAAAGAAAGATTTATAATATGCCGAAAGACAATATCGAAACTTTTCAAGAACTCCGTTGCGATTACAGTGTAGCTCAAGTCGAAAGAATTTTTTTTACAGTTTTTCAACACCCTTCGAGTAGCATTCACTTGAGATTCAAATTCCATTCTGTTCCCTACAAATTTCATTTATCACTATTCAGTTATCAATTATCTGGCGCTCTTTGTGTTGAGTGTAGTTGAGGAAATTCATGGCGAATTTTTAGAAGGTGAAGTTGTCACATCATATGATTGCTTGTTCTTCCTTTCATTTCAACAAATTTCACAAATAAAATACTTGAGAAAAAGGTTTTGAACTTTCGAACATTGAATGATTTTCGTTTTTGACTTTCCGAAACTATGATTTAAATAGAATTTTGTTTTGAGGTCATCTAATGGTAGGCCCAGGAAACGAGCTGTTTCGACGTTGTTGGACCAAAGGGAGTGAGAGGGCATGTGGTGGGTGGTTAGTGTAGTGCGGATACTCTCCACACGCAGGGCATACGTTGGGTATGCTCGGTTAAATGGTAATTTTATAATAGACCACTGTGATTTAGCGAAAGACCCATGGCAATGATTTTTTGTGATTTTTGAAATAAACGAAGTCCCTTAAAATTTAGTGCTACGAACAGCATAACAATTGCTTGTACCGCTGCTCACATAAGAGAAGTGTTGATTTCGGTGTAACCGAGTATCATCGAAAGCAGATTCGAAGGTACAATGTTATGGAGTACGAACAAGCATTCGTACCGAGTTAGTCATTTGAATGACGAATCGAACTCCAGTTGTTGACGAAATGTATGTACAAGAGAATCTGCGTGTATTTTCGGGTACAGATCTTGTATCGACCGCACGTACAGATTCAATGTTTCTAATTTCACATATGATAAGCGAATATAAAATATGCGCGTCCCTACGTGTTGTTTACCTCATGCGAAAAAAACTTTTTGACGCTTGCTTATCGGTTACTCGTTAATAATGTTATCAAAGCTCTTCTCTTTCGTTTGAATACAGGGTGTGCATTACAACATGAAAACACTAGAGATTTTTAAACTCAAATTTGATACAAAATATTTTTTTTGGCATATTATATAAAGTATATACGTATGCGTGCGTATATTTTTATTTGGCGCTTTGCAAACGCCGAAGCGAATTTAAGCCGTGCTCCGCCAGCTATATATCTGTGGTGAGGGTCTTAATGGTTTTAGAGGAAACCTACCGTTTATTCTAAGTGGCCTGCGAACGGACGATTAGTTTTTATGAAAAGCTTTTATTTCATACCAAAATACACTTGACATACCTTGCCGAGGGCCGAACGCAATGAGAAAAATTTAATTTTTATGAATTTCGCATATTTGCTAAAATCTGGCCACGATCCCTAATCACTAAACACTATGCTTTATAGCTTAAGAAAACATATGTCTCATTATACTCTTTATCTGCTTTAATATTTATAACACAGATAAGTTTATGCTAATAATAAAGTCAGTAAACGATTTTTCTCTTTTGCTGTGCTTGGGTAAGTTTTACAGGCTTAAATGTCTGGCACATGGTAAAGTGGCTGCTAATATTAGCGCCATAGCGGTAAAATATTTTGTTAGCTAGTTAAAGTGATAGTTTGACCTTTAAACTCTCATCAAGCATACTTAGGATCCCTGGCGATACTTGTGTTGGGACTGTGAAGGAGATTCCTTTTACATTTCCAAATGTTTTGCGAAGGTCAGGAGATTAAGGCTGCAAGCATTGCAAAACAATTGAAAATGAAATTTTCTAAAAAAGACTGAAAGCCGTGCAGTGGTAAAGTTAGTATTCCAGCTCATCTGCGGCAAAAGTAATTTAAAAAGTAACCCATCCATCTGCTTTGAGTCCCCATTGATTTAGTTCTATTCACTTCGATCAAAGACCAAATTTGCCATGCTACACTGCATGTCTTATCATATATTTTGCCGAAGAAAGCGGTATGCGCTCGTCTTGTACAAAGTGTATCGCGTTTATAATGCGATTCCCTGGGATGTTCCTTTGATCGGGAACCCAAACAACGGACATTTGGCTTATACCAGAGAGTTTGGTTTAAAATTCTTCTGCGTCTTATCGATATCACTGAAGGAATATGATTGCATTGGAGAGATTTAGTGACATCCGGGCTGTCAGAGTTGAGTAACCATGAAACGGTTTCCGATATAACGGTTAGTTTCGTTTGAAAAACGCTTCATTGGTCGGGAAGCCTCTTACTTAAGGCGATAGCAAGATTAAATCATAAATTTTTTCAATAAATTTTTAATGTATATTTCAAATAAAACTCCTAATGTGTTAGCAATATTCCAGACCAAAGGAGGGCCCCTTATATTATCTAGTTATTTGCTTGCTTTTAAGTGCTGTCTATGAAAGTAGACGATTGGTGAAATCTTCCAATTGATTTAAATTATTAACAAATACTCATAAATATGCAGGTATATATGTATACTCTTATATATTTATGAAAAAATCAGTCTGAAGATTAAACCTTAAGTACTAATATATATGTATAAGTATGTGCTTTCATGAAAATATCACCTAGAAATGGAAAGCATTCTTCATAGCTTCCACAGAAGCTGTCCTTGCTTCCATAACATATATAAAAATATAATTTTTTTACAATTTAATTTTAAATTTATTCTTTACTTAATAAATGAAGGAAAAATTTTATCAAAAAGCTAATTTTAACAATTGAAATGTCCCAAAAAAAAATTTGATTCAACAGCCCTCTCTTTCAAACCAACATCCCGTCAGAAAAGTGCCGGTAAAAGGTTATCCTGTATCGTCAACTTCTTTTCCCTGAGCTTGTACGGCAAATTACAGACTCGAATTGAATGCAATTAAACCGTGGAGTAGTGGCAGCAGGCTACGCTGGCTAGGTCATGTTGCCCGAAAGGTTGAAAGCTCACCAGCTTTGAAAGTATTCGATGCAGTATCCTCTGGTGGAAGCAGAGGAAATATCAGGTGAAAAGTGACATGGCTTCACTTGGTATTTCCAACTGGCGCCAGACAGCGAAAAGAAGAGATGAACGGCGCGCTAATATTGATTCGGTTGTAATCGCGTAAGCGGTGCCGACGCCTATACAGAAGAAGAAGACAGTAGAGGGTAATCTAAAATATTATCACCTGCAGAAATTTTGAAGAAGCTGGTTTACACCACCTCCAGTATGTGCTTCGACAATTAATTTTCAACAAGTATCTCAAACAGGAACGAATAGAAAAACTCATAGCCTTCTTACGAATCGGCTCGAAACAGTTTAAAAATCGATGAAAAAGTGGGCTGTAGAATCCACTCTCCAAGCTTTCTCAATAAATATTTATGAGCAGTTGACTACCATACCATTGCAGCGTCTTCCAAGCAGAACCTTTTGTAATCATAGAAGCTCATATCTACGGTGGGAGGACAATCAGTTCTGATATATTTTGATAGTCAAGCTGCCATCAGATCTCTGCAGTATAACAATACCACATCAAAAGTGGTTATAAAATGTAAAAGTAATCTGAGGAAATTATCTATGAAATGCAACATAGTTGTGGTCGTGGTCTGGTCAAGTGAACTATCACTCTAATGATTTTTACCGCAGCTACGGAGAAGAGGAAGATTGCACTGGACACTACCTCTGTCACCGTATAGCCCTGACATCTAACCGACATTGGCAATCCAGTGGCTATTATCACGAAATGGCGCGAGCATTTGAGAAGATGAAGATAGAAAGGAGCCTTATAGCGGTATCTCAATAGGCCTATTGCCCTAAGTGTGTTGTTCACTGACCAACAGCGGTATCTACTGACGAACTCTGACTTGAATGGAGCTAAATTCGATTTATCGTTCTTCTATAACAAACTCATCAATGCAGTAGGCGAAGAAACTAATACGACATTTCCACGACAGCCCAATTACATGTTTCGCTCTTCCAAACGCAATTCGCACTCCAAATTAAGCAACTCGGCATATACAAATTTTTGAAAACTAATTATAGGAAAAGTGGCTAATTCATTCACAATTGTTATGCGAATTACTACCAAATCGTTGCCTTCTCTAATTCTTAAAAATCAGTTGACAAATCGACACAAAATAGTTGATATTAATAAAGGAAAACGCCAAACCCCGTACATTTATTTGAAATCAAACACTATTTGTGTTTAATGCAAGAAGAAAAAAAAATAGAAATTCTTAAAGAGATTATCAAACTTGTTGAAATGATAAGCGCCTTGATAATTTCGAAAGAATGTGTTGATTTAATAAATTTTTTCTGCCACAAAAATCTTTTATTTTCTTTGCGTTTTCAATTGAACCACTGAGAGAAACTGAAAGCTGTCAAATTGTATGCCATTTGAATGGTGTAATTCGCATTCGTAGTTGAGAGGACGAACAATGTAATTCACGGTGGCGTGGAAAAGCCAGGTATACTTAAACGACAGATGGCGCTGCAATAAAACGGAAGTAGGAGGTTAATAATGCCAACTAAGCGTCAAAAATTAATTTTGGCTGTCGCTTCTAAGGGGGTTTTTAAACGATAAAAAATGCTGGTACTTTTCAACATGAGGGATGTAAATAATATGAAACGAAATAAACACATCTCTACAACATACCATTTCTAGACAATTTACGGTAAAATACAATAGCAAAGCAAATTTTTGCCGCAAATAATTAAAATTTTTTATTATGAAAAAAAAATATTCTTGAATAAAAATATTGTCAAAATCGACTTTAGTGATTTCTTAAAAATTAAATTATACTACTTCTTTTAGCTAATAAACTATAAATAATATGAATAAAAATTATTTTAAATATTCTTCTCTTATGTTATATTCGCGAGTTCGATAAAAGTGAGTTGAGTTAGTTTAAATTTAATTTAATTTGAGTTTAATATTGCATATATTTGCGTTTATTTTCTATTTATTTCGTTCGTAATAACTAAAATTGTCAGATATACATATATTTAAAAATTTCTTTTTATCCGTAAATGTTGCTGTAGTTTCACGATCTACAGCTTTTTGTACAAATTAAAATGCATTTATGAGTAAACTTGTGATTGTTTGTGAACAATAAATATTTTCATAACGAGAACACTTTAGAATATCACTTAATGAAAATATCATATGTAAATATGTATAGATTTTGCTATGCAAGTGTAAATGCATGCATATGTATGTGTATAATTTGAAATAAAATTCGATAAATGTGTGTGTTGTGTGCAACGCATATGAGCATGAACTTGAATGAAGGGTTTTTAAGTGTACAGATACACACAAATATATATATGTATGTATTGTGTTTTGTAAATATCTAAAGAAGATGATTAATTTTTTTTAAAATAACAATTACAACAACTAATTAACTTGTAATCATGGCATGTAGTGTATTATATATGGCACATAATTAAATATTAAATTATTTCCTGCACTCACATTCATCACTTTAATAAAAAAAAAAAAAATTAAAAATAATTCAATCATAAGACTCTGCCTACCTTAACGATAATTGTAGTAGTCTTTGGACCACTATCGCCTTGCGCCAATGTGATAATCGCACGATAACAGACGGTCAGCATGAAGGCCTCCTCGGCACCAATGAATTTCACCTGTACATCTAGCAATTTGACATTTTCATTTTTATCACTCTCAATAGCCAAGTCTTCTCTAAAGTGTTGGTTTTTTACAATTTCGGCAAAGAGGAAACTCCGAATCCACTCAATTTCAGCTTCAGCTTTGGATGTCGTCATTTTTTATTTAGTTAATTAAATAATTATTGTTATTGTTATTATTGTTATTGTTAAATTTCACAAATTCTCTCTTGATTTATTTACAAACGCTAACGCTAACGCTTCGAACGCGCTCGCTTTTACTTAGTGTAATAGCTCACTAACGACTGAATCGCCAGCGTTCGCTGTGTAGCAAATTTATATAAAAATTTTTTATTTATCAAAACATTCCTCAATTTTACAATTAAGCGAGTGTGAGAATACTACCATTCAAGTATATATGTCAGAGAGGTAGCAGTTCATAATTGTGTTGTATTGTGTACATCAGAGATACTTTGTGAGATGATTATTGTAGAACGAACGGCCGATTGCCGAGCTCGCTCTTTCGCTGTTAAGTAAGGGACTGTTAATTATAACCGACAATAATTATTCGTAATTTTAATAATTTTTTTTTTGGATAAAGCTTGTTCTTTTTATTGACTTAAAAAATTTAATGAACTGAAAAAATGTCTCAAAAATTGATAAAGTCCGAATTGTATGTGTTTTTTCTAATAAAAATAAGAACAGAAATCGTTTCTTTCTCTCTCAACTTACGAACTTTTTGAGTCCATTTACTAAATTAATAAAAATGAAATGTTTAAAATTTAATATTTCAATATTAAATGGTTGCAAAAGAAAGTAGGATCTCCACAAAACAATGTCTTACGTAAAAATTTGAATACGTTTATTCATAAAAAGAAAATCCCAACCCAATGCAAATTCCAAGATTGCAAAATATGCGAGTACTTTTCAATTTCACCATATTTTTGTTGGTATTTGTACGTGTGTATTATTATCATCACTTGAAAGAATATCAATAAATTCGCTAAATGAATGACTCGACAAAAAAGCCATTACCACTAGGATTGGTAAACTCTAATCTCTAACTAATAGAAGCTACCTTACGATAAGAACTCCTCCACCGATGCTCCTCTGGGTTTAATTACTAAAATTGTAGATCTCCTGACTATTCTCATTTTTAAACAAAGCAACAGTTAAATATGTGTCCGAATACTTGCATGGCATGCGAAAGAGACAAAAGTTAATAATTGTTTAGTGTGTACATAAGAGAAATGTACTTCGTAAGAAGATTACTACAACAGATCGCAAGGCCAATTGCTGTTATCGGCTCTCTAACTCTTTCCCTGTTCATTACTGTAGGAGATAACGACTTACGCGTTAATTATTATTCAATATTATATAAACTGTTTTGCACCATTTTCAATCTTTCAATTGACAGAAAAAAAATTAAATAAAATTAAAAATTTCTCATTTTGATAATTAGAAGAATTGTAGGATTCTTGTGTGTTCCGATTTTGGCGCTAAAACGTTGAGTTTGCTATATTTCATTGAAAAGAATCTGTTATGAAAACTTATGTACAATGTTTGGATTTTTTATTTTCTATTTTCTTTTACCATCCACCACTGTGCACTGTCTTATCAATATTATTGGAAAACTTGAAATTTTATATGCAATAATTTATATATAACTTTTTCCAAAATAAATTGTTATCACTTGTGGGGTAGTGCTACCACGTGGCTAGATAAGATCAAGCATTAGATAAAATGTGTAGTAGGAGGCAAAGCAGAGCAACGTAATATATTGCGCTTGACCGATTAACTCTGTTATATACGATAAAAATAATATTTACTATGTTGAATATTTATAACAATGGGCCTATTGGCCTAAAAGTGCTGGGGTTGACTCAACGCAACTCAACTCAACTCAACTCATGTTGAATATATATTTCTTCCTCACTTATTGTCCTCCTATTATTTTTTATTTAATTTTTATTTATTTATTTTTTTTTCTACTTCGTTTAATTTGTTTTATTTCATTGTATTTTTTCATTTTAATTTCTTTCATTTTATTTAATTTTTTTCATTTTAAATTACTAATTTAAATTTTATTTTTTTTTTTATTTCCTTACATTTTATTTTATGTTATATAACTTTATTTTGTTTAATTTATTTTTTATATAGTTTTTTCAATTTAATTCGATTTTCTATAATATCATTTTATTACTAAGTTTTATTTTATATTATTATATTTTATTTCATTCTATTTTATATTATTTTTTATGTTAATATATTAATTTGTTTAATTTCATTTTATTTTAATTTAGTTAATTTTTTAAAAATTATTATAATAATATTGTACTTTATTTGATTAAAGTTTGTAAAATTTTTATTTATTGCTTTTTTAATTTCTTTCATTTTAATTTAATTCATTTATATAATATTTTAGATTATTTTATTTTACTTCATTTTAATTTTTATTATAAAATTTTATTTTTTTTTCTAGCTTTGTTCAATTTAATTCAATGTTCTTTAATTTCATTTCATTACCAAGTTTATTTTATGTTATTAAACTTTATTTTATTTTATTTTATATTAATTTTTATTTTAATTTGTTTAATTTCATTTTATTTTAGTTTAGTTAAATTATTTTTTAAATTTTATTTTATGGTATTTTATATTGTTTCATTTTATTTTATTTTATTTGAGTTTGTAATCTTTTATTTTTTATTTATTGTTTTTTAATTACTTTCATTTTATTTTATATTCATTTACATTATTTTTTATTATTTTTTATTTTATTTAATACAATAAGTATTTTATTATACTTCATTATATTTTATATTGCAAAATTTTATTTCGTTTACTTTTTTCACCTTGTGTTCTTTAATTCAATCAAATTTTCTTTAATTTATTTTCTTTAATAAAAAAAAGTAAAATTTTTATATTATTTTTTATTTTATTTTATTTTATTTTATTTAAGTTTCTAATATTTTATTTATTTTTTTAATTTTAATTTCTTTCATTTTTTTTATATTTATTAATTATTTTGATTTACTCAATTTAATTTAGTTTTTTTACTTTTATTGTATTTTATTTTATTTTACTTGATTTCATTTTATATTATATAAATTTATTTTGTTTATTTCATTTTTTATCTAGGTTTGTTCAATTTAATTAAATTTTCTTTATTTTCTTTTTTTAAGATATATTTTAATTTTTTTTTTATTATGTTTTATATAATTTTTTATTTCATTTTATTTCATATTATGTTATTTTATTTTATTTAAGTTTATTTTATTTTACATCATTGTTATACTTTTTTTATTGTATTTTAATATATTTAATTTAATTTAATTTTATTCTATTTTAATGTATTTTATATTATTTTCTATTTTATTTTATTTTTTTAAGCTTATTTTATTTTATATTTTTGTTATCATATATTTCATTCTATATTATATTTTGATATAATTGTTTTTTTTTTCAATGTCGTTTTATTTAAATTTAATTGTTTGAACGCGAGCTTAACAGTACACCACCCTAGTGTTGTGTGCGCACCCCAATGCACCTTTTTTCAGCTACAGCTGCATAAGCTGTATAAGCTGTGCTTGCTAAACAATCATCGAGTTTTCATATAAACATATCGGAAAGCGTGCACGGGCCGATATAACTCAAAACTAACTAAATTAATTTATTTCCTTCCATTACATAAGCATTAAATACAACTTTTGTTACGCTTAATTAAATTGTTAATACATGTAAAAAGCGATTCGAAAGCACCCTCACGTAAAAATAACTTATTTAATTTTTTTAATTTTGTTTAATTAAATTTTATTTTATATTTTATTACTTTTTTTTTCTTAATTTACTTTATTCTGTTTCAATTTATTGTAAATTATTAAATATAATTTATTTTTTTTTAACTTTATTTTTCTGACATTTTTACATTCTAGATATTTTTTTACTTCCTTAGCTATGTATAAATACTATCGCAAGTATGCATACATACTTGTATATTTGTCAACCATAGACATTGCAATCTGCGTAAATCTCCATGTAATGTCTTAAAATCCAATAAATCTGTTGGTAATCAATAAGCAAATAGCAAATATTTTTCAATTATTTATTACCATCCTGTTCATTATTCAATTTCCTTCACCTTGTTAGTGTAATATTACCAACGAAGCCGTTATAATGTTAGTTGTTTACATAATTTATGATCCTTCGATTGTTTAGTAAATTAAATCTTTACAAATTCTGCACATAAATCTTGTCTCCTTCGGTCTTTCTTTCACTTAACCATTTACGGTAATTTTTTCCACATAAAAGGATAAAACCATACGCGAACTTACAGCATGCGGTCGGTAATTTATGACCGCAACAATCAGCGTTAAATAAATCAAAATTCTGATTTATTTTTCATATTTATTGTCTATTAAATAGATATGTATGTAGCTAGAATGCAATTGATTGTTGGTGTAGCGTAGATAAGCACTGTGGCTAACAGAAGGAATAGAGAAAATGGGCTATATGGGTGATGGTCACTATGACGGTGTTGCTGGCTTTGGTGGACATTGGGTTGCGGGTGTGCTGAGGTATGAAAAACTTGTTTAGCAGTTTTTAAAATTTTGTCAGTTTTTTGGCATATTGTGCGCCTTGTGCTGCTTATTACAGCTTGCTTAATTTAGTAACTGAGTCTGATTAAGAACCGTATTTGTTGTTGGTTCATGCACGGGCTAACGTTTTTTTGCTTGATTAAAAGCTGAAATATTTAAAGCTTATTCAACAGAGCTGTTTAACTGTATAACTAATTATTTCCTTGTTGTTGATGAGTTGCATTTGGAAATATATAATATATATATTTTAGATTTTTAGTAAAAAATTTCGGAAACATCTTCCACTGATGACGTCACTGTAGTTCTGGTGAAGTTCAAAATTGACGAAGAAACGTTGCTAACGAATCGGGCTTGAAAGCCATGACTGTATCGCGAATATTAACTAATTATCTGGGATACACGCAGAAATCTGCTCGATGGGTACCAAAAATTATAAATCAGGCCCAAAAAGAGGCTCATATAAACAGTCTAGTAACTTTAGTTAAGTCACCACTGCTGACTAATCTTGGTTCTATGAGCACGATCCAGAAACCAAATAGCAGTCCATGATATAGAGCCCAATAGGAGCGAGCCCACCCATAAAATCTAAGCAACAAAAATCAGCAGCAAAAATAATGATGCCAGTTTGCCTCACCCGATCTAAAATCGTAGCTGCTATTCCAATGGAAAACGGTCGGATGGTAACTGCAAAATGGTACACCGAAGGGTTCTTACCAAGAGT